TAAACGCACTTGTCCCCTGATTAGGGTTTACTGAGGACCCCTCCTCTTTAGCCATGTTCTGTATGTCACGCAGCCGATCCTTTAATGCAGCTACCTCATCTTGCAATCGAGAGCAATCTTGCCTAGACCTCCTTGCTGCTTCCTCGCTCTCCTTCAGTCTCTCTGCCAGTACCCTACAATCGTCTCCTCTGTCCTTCAGCGCCACCTTCAACCTTTCACAATGTCCATCAAGTACGTATATCTGCAGCTCGGTGACTAAGAATGAAGGCCCCTCTGCCAAGTCAATGACAGTCTGGTGATCCCCTCCTTGGGGCTGCTGTGCCATAGGCAAGGAAAGGGGTTGCATAGCAGAGGGATGATGTCCTGCTTGAGGCTGCTGAGAAGGTGCCGGAGAGAGGGGGCATGGGACGCCCATGACAAGCGGTTTGGGAAGGATGTGAGCGAACCGGCCAAACCTGGACATTTTGTCACGGCTTTCCGGGTGAAACGGGCCTCCGGGTGTGTTTCAGAGTCAAAAATCAGCATATTCTGGACGTACCTCTCTGCTTGGTGGGTGGGCGCACGCGGCACTTGGGGCATATGTCTGCGGATCTTTCACGGATCTTGAACACCGGTTATCGACGGCTTACTCACTGGTAAATCTCGGTTATCGACGGCTGCCTGTCTGGACATTCTGGCAGTATGGTTGACCTGGGAGATCAACGGCGTACTTCCCAGTATCCGGCGGTGTTCAACGGCTGCGTGTCAGGGCAGGCTGACTGTTGCAGTTAAAGCGGGAGATCGACGGCTGCTTATCAGGACGTTTTTCGCAAAGGCCGAGTCACCGCGGCTCAACTAATGATGAGGTGTCATCAACGGCCCGCCTTTGAGCGATTTTTCGGGGATTCCACTAGGTCTGGTAACTTGTTTTCACGTGGAGTGTCCTTTGGTGTCATCGACGGTTACCTACCCTCGGCTTACCGGTTCTTTTGGTGACGGGCGGACAGGGTATGTTGCAGTCTCGGCTCGGCCTGCTTGAAAATGAGCCATTGTTCTGTGTCTGAACGGCTTTGAGAGAGGCAATGGACCACCTGGACGAGCACACGAGGGCGTTGGTCAGCGCGGGGCGTTGGGTAGACACGGAAACAAGGTGGGCACTGAACAAGTGGCTCACGTCGCTCTGGTCTGGAAACCCTGTGGATCAGTGCGATTTGAGTGTGGAGGAGTGCCGCATCTTGTTGGGTTTCGCCAATGCCTTCACTGTGAGGAGAGCCCTTGAGAAGAGCAGTGACGAGCACCTAAAGCAACATAAGCATCGTGGGTACAAGGAGCATGAGGGGGTCATGTTCGTTTCTGGGTCTCTGCTACTGAAGACCGCACTGAGAAGTGGGAAAGGGAAGGGTGCAGATTACAGGCTGGTTGCTGAGGGGATCCTGAGGGATTATGTGGCCCTAAGAGAAGGCAAGAGAAAGCAAAGGGATTGGGAGGATGAAAGGTCCGTGCGGAGGCTGCAGCAACCCTATCGGCAGCAGCAGCAGCAGCTTACAGCCGCTGGAACAGTGGCTCAGCACCAGCCCCAGGTGCAGATGGTGCCACAGATTGCACAGGGGCGGGGCATGCAGGCCAGCCAGCCAAGGTGCAACCAGGGCCTTATGCAGTCAGGGCAGCTGAACAGGCAGGGGCGGGGCATGCAGGCCGGCCAGCCAAGGTGCAACCAGGGCCTCATGCAGTCAGGGCAGCTGAACAGGCAGGGGCGGGGCATGCAGGCCGGCCAGCCAAGGTACAACCAGTGGCAAGCTGGGCAGGGGGGAGGGATGCAGGTTGGCCAGCGCTTCAATGGGCAGCTGGGGCTGGGGCCGGTGAATATCCAGCAGCAGGCGGGGGGCGTGCCCCTGGGAGGCGGGGAACAACCTGAGGTTCAGGCGGTTCTGCCTGGGCTTGAGGGTTGGGATCTGGAGGCTGAGTTGGAGGTGGGCGTGCAGTTTGCACAGGGGGGGGAGCAACCTGAGTTGGAGGGGGGCGTGCCGCGTACACAGCAGGGGGGTGACCAACCTGAGCAGCCAACTCAACCGCACAACGTGCCCCTGGAACTTGATCCCAGACTGTCTGCTGAAGACCGTCGCAAGTGGTATCGCGAGCATGGTTTCACCACTGAGGACGTGTGGAAGGGGTTGGTCCAGGCGTCAGACAAATTCGAAGAGGAACAACATGAGCGCGAGCAGGCCCTGCGTCAAGTCCGGCAGCTCAAGCTGCAGCAGGGTGTTGTGCCGACGCCCCCTCTGGAGCTTGGTCCATCTGTTACCGAGCTCTTCAACTGGTTCAAAGTGCAAGGGTACACCTATCAGGATTCGCCAAGATGATGGAAGAGAATGAAGAAGTGGAGATGATCCTAACGTGTCGGAAAAATGAAAGGGTGAACAGTCAGTAGCAGCCTGTGGACCTTGAGATAGATGCTTACTGGCTCCCAGAACTACTTGTCTGACACGGTTAGTCTGCCATTGACTCTTCTAGGTATAGGTGGTTCTGCCGCCTCGCAAAACCCATACAGCTTGTCTTGTGGCTTGAGATTGCTGTCCATCAGAGAGGAACCTGATGCAATCTGTATTGTGATCCCCAAGCTGAGTGCCTTGCATATAAGGAATTCCATGCATGGCCGGACTTCGAGGGCGTCCACCCCGTACATCTTGATCCTTGCCACTCCGTGCATCATGGCAAATGCAAATGCATATGCGCTGGATGATGTCAGATATGGAACACCCACGGTGTTCAGTGCCTCCTCAAGCGGGTAGGTCACGCCCCCTGCATAGGGTGGTGGACTGTCGCTGCAGTACAAGGGGCCTGGGTGCTCTTGTAGCCAATACCATGTGGCAGCTCTTTTGCCAAGAGGCTTCATGGTGAATGCTCGGTCATGCGCGATAACGCCCCCCATCTCATCTATAGCCCACACCTCATCCGCGATGCGGTGCGGCCCGCCTGCAGCCCCCGCCTCGGCCAAATAGTCCTTGCATGAGAACCCCACGTCCACAATAGCGATGGTCTTCCCTTGCAACGTTAAGGGGGCTTCATCAACTTGCTTCTCCTCGGTGTGCTCATCATCACTGGCCCCAGGGCAGCATGCTTTGTCGGCCTCAGGGTTGCATGATTTGTCGGCCTCCTCCGAGTCATCGAAGAAGCGCAGGATCTTCTCGGGGCTCTTTGCACACCTGGCAGACCTCGTTCGCTTTGGCACCATGGTGAATTCTGGTCTTTGTGGCCTGTCGCAACCCCCTAAGTAGCTCGTCAGGATCTCGCGGTTTTTTTCTCACAAGGACTTAACAGCTGTGTCAGGATGCCGCCGAATGCTGCTTCCTACTCTGGAGCCCTCGGTGCCTTGATCGTGAGAAAGGCAAAGCTCAACACGATCGCTAATGGGACTGACTCTGCGGGAAGCAACGCCGATCTCCAGCTGACATGCTCCAAGGATTTTTACATCAACGCGAGCACGGGCACAGGGTCGAACCTGACTCCAAACAATATAAATGTTATTGGCAATCTCTTGACGTCCACTGGCACGTTCGGGTCAGACTCCAACGCATCTGGTCTGACGTTGACCACAGCAGTTGGAGACATCAACTTCGCCCCTGCCGGAAAGGTCAATCTGACAGGTGAGATTGCACTGGCAAACGGGACCTTGACCGCTGCCGGTGACATGACTCTTGTCCCTACCAACGACTTGAAGCTGGACCCAGGATCTGGAAAGGTGGACAGCAGCGGTACGCTCTCATCAACAAATTCGACCGCAACGTTGACCGGTGACGGCGTGCCGACCAGAATCGTTTCCTCGACCGGGCAGGACATCCAGCTCCGCCCTGTATCTGGTCAAAGTGTTACCACGGACGCGCCAATCGTCACTTCCGACACCCATGTGACAGGAACGACTGCCCTAGTGCTCGGAGCGCAATCTGGCAATGTGACTCTTGCTCCCACCTCAGGGAATGTAATTCTCACCCCTGGGGGCTCAAATGCTGTTATCAAGATGTCGAGCGATGTGTTGCTCAGTGCTCAGAACGTTGTTGGGTCAAATGCTTCCGGGGTTTTGATCAACGCCGCTGCTGGTGACCTCGGGCTGACCAGTTCGGGCTCTATCATTGCAAACAGCCTCTTCAAGACGAGCCAGGGCACCATCCAGTCGACTGCCAGCAACCTCGAGCTGAATACGTCCGGCCAGGGGGACATTCGGCTTTATCCTGGGGGATCCAACGCTAATGTCGCTATCGGTGCTGTTGGGGCGGGTACTTCGACCGTTCTTCAGGTCAACGGTGGAGCGATTACTGGAAGCAAATCGACAGTTCTTTCCACGACGTCAGGGGATCTGACGCTCACCTCAGCTGCAAACATTGTGGTCACTTCTCCTATCGTCACTTCCGCAGGAGCAATCACTGCTTCTGGCACAGATCTCACCCTTTCTGCGCCTAGTGGCCACAAAGTGGTGATTGATGGTGATTTAGATGTGACTGGGACTGTTACGCATGTGAATTCAACGGACCTGTTGGTCGAAGACAAAACAGTGACTTTGGCACACAGCGACTCTCCGGGTGCGTTGGCTACGGTAGATGGAGCAGGTATCGTTATTGACAACTCAGACACTGATGTAAGCCTGAGATTCAACGATAATGCAGGAGTGCCGTTCTGGGCTCTGAACGGTGGTGACTTCCGCTTCCAGAAGACCTTCGTTTTCAACGGTACGACACGTATGGTGGGTTATGAGCTGAGTATTGACCCTGAGAGCGAAAATCTGGTATTCTCGAAGTATGCTGCCGACGGAACGACTCTCGGCGCTGCTTCACCAGTCAGCGTTTTCACCGTAGGACCTTAAGGATTTGACTCTAGGCACAATTCACTTTGATCGCATAAGAGGCCGTAAACAGTCCTCGTTGCGGACTTAGGGACAACAATATGATGATAGACAGACAACAATAGGATGGCTTACAAGTGTCACTGCGGAACTCGGGCAAACTTCGGCATTGTTGGCGGTAGAGCCACGCGCTGCAAGAAGCACAAAGATGTGGGCATGGTAGACGTCAAGAATCGACGCTGCCGCTGTGGCAAGAGTCAGCCCTTTTTTGGATTCTTGGGAAAGAGAGCAGAGTGTTGTTCTGGGTGCAAGCTTCCCAACATGGTGGATGTGCGAAGCCCTCGTTGCAGATGCCGGAAGAGCCATCCAAGTTTTGGTTACGTGGGCAAGAGGCCCGAGTGCTGCTTGAAGTGTAGACTCCCCGAAATGGTTGCTCTTGACAGTCGTCGTTGTGCTTGCGGGCAAGCACGACCAAGTTTTGCACTCCACGGAGAGAAGGCAGGCTTTTGCGTGAAGTGCAAAACACCGGCAATGGTTGATGTGGTAAGTCCGCGTTGCCAGTGCGGGAAAGCTCAACCCAGCTTCGGCTTTCCAGGCAGTAAGGCCGCTTGTTGCACAGATTGCAAAAGTCCAGGGATGGTTAATGTTGTTAGCCCGCACTGTGCATGTGGTAAACATCAACCGCGCTTCGGGCTCCTCGGTGGGAGGGCAACCTGTTGCAGCGAATGCAAAGAGGACGAGATGATAGATCTCACGCAACCTCGGTGCTCGTGTGGAGAGATCGCGTACTACGCGCTCGCGGGAGGCGAAGCGGTCTGTTGCAGAGGCTGCATGACACCTGATATGGTCCACACGAGGAAGCACACGTGCGTTGTCGGCTCTTGTGAGCCGATAAAGTCAGTGCGCTTTGCCAACACGGCCTGTTACGAGTGTAGCGGAAAGGTCCCGCAAAAGATGTGGGAGCGCAAGGTTGTGAAGGAGTTGAAGCGCCTCGGTATCGAGTATAGCTATTACGATGTGAGCGTCCCGTGCTCCCAGGCCAAGGGGATCAAAGCATTCCGGCCGGACCTCATATTTGCACTTCAGGACTTCGTGGTCATCCTCGAGGTGGACGAGAACGAGCATCGGGCTTACGAGCTGTCGTGCGAGGTGGGGAGAGTTGGTGATATCAAGGATGCCATCGAGCTGCCCCTCCTCCTCATCCGCCTCAACCCCTCCGAGGCGCGCATCAAGGCACTGGGCGAGACAATGAAGTGGGCTTTCTCCATGGGAGAAGCTGTCAAGGCACAGGAAGCGGGGCTCATGCTTGCATATCACGGGTACTCGGACAGCAGGAGGGCCGAGCTTCACGAGCAGATGGTCAGGCAGAACGGCTTTGCATACGAAACGATTGTTTTGTAACCGGCACGTTATGAGGGACTCACTTTTCATGCATTCTGTTTGCCTTTTCGTACATTTCGGAACATGCAATGTGCACGGAGTGATGCAAGCATTCACGCGCACTTTGTACGAATACTCAGAGGATCACGCCCAAGCACTGTC